TGGCGTAGACGTCATAATGGGTGGAGGGACGGGGGCAGCTGCTTTGGCTTCTGAAGTCTCCATGTTGATTGTAGTAGTAGTAAGAGAAGAGGATGAAGAGTAAAAATAGAAAGTCGATGGTGCAGCTGTGGTAGCTGCGTAGCTGGTCAGTATCCGGAAGCCAGCTAGTCCGGAGCTAGAGGGCGTTGGTAGGGGGCGCAGTGCTCTGTATACAAAGATTGAGTATCCGAGGTTTATGGCGAACAAGCAGGTGTTTAAGGAGTGGCCTACTAGCAAGCTATTTTATTTATTCATTGGCCATGCGAAACATGGCCACATATGCGACACGGTTCGAGACGCTCGATGCAGGTACACGCAACGACGTCAGCGGCTGTTGCAGCTTGCTATTGGTGTCCGCTGGAGTGCTGGTCTTGTGCACATCGGGAATAGCGCCATTCGGGGTGGCAGCTGTGTGCATCCGTCCACTCCCCGGGCCACTTATCCAACAATTGCATCTTTTCTACATGCATATGTACACACATAAAATGAATATCAATCCGGTGAGCCTGTGCGTTGTTGGCAGTGGAGATGCCATGAAGCCTGACGTGTCTCAGGGTCTCCTATATCTACGCAGGGTCTGGCGCTAAGCCACGCCCCGGAGGGCGCCACTGCCATCATGACAGCCACCCTCATAGCACCTTCACACACACCGCATCCAAGCAGCCACCTCATCGTGCTTTTGCTAAGCCACTTTACTCATCCAATAGTTTGTATCTTGCCTTTCTTTTCACATGCACCTCCACCACCTCCATCCACCCCTACACATTATGCTCAGTCTCTCGCAAAGCCAGCTTCGTCTTGATGCGGTCTAGCACCTCTATGTAGTGCTCGTAGTTGGGGAAATCAACACCTTGGCAGTCCTTCTTCACTTGGCCAGCTTTGACAGCGGCCGCTTTAGCCATGCCAAGGTCGTTTTGGTGCTCGCAGACGAGCGCAATATCCAGGTACCTATTCAGAATCAGCCGGGAACTCTGCGAGACCTTCATAGAGCTCCTGCCGTTACTTCCTACTCGTCTTGTCAAACCGGTGTACATAGAACCACCAGGTCGCGAGAACGATTCGTGTCGCTACTTACACAGCAGCCAGTCTGGCGGTATAGTCTCCTTCGAGTCCGTGTAGTGCGGCTAGCTGAAGCAATTTGTTGACGAATTGAGGCTGCTGGATCCCTTCCAGAAGCATAGCGCCTCGCCACATACGCGTCTCATGCTCTAGTTCCTGTAGTAGGAAGCGCCTCACGGCACTCTGGTGTGCGAAGCTTGTCTCGTCATTTTCGTCCCCAGCGCAAGCTGGGCAGTCGCAGACGAAGCCATAGTGCTTGAGTTCGTAGGCCCGAGATGGCTTGTCATGGATCATGTCGCAGTACGAAATTGTAATCTCTTTGCCAGCAGCCACGTCATTCATGACATGGATGGTCTCCTTGGTGATGGATGCGTTCCAGGAGAAGCAAGCATTGGGGTTGCAAGAATGATTGAATCGTGCTGCATGTGGGAACACAGCTGCACCCTTACCCATTTCCATACAATTTATCTGGAAGATGCTCATCCATGTCGCTTCATTACCGATTCGAGCTGCGTGTTGCTCCTCAATGCGCTGTCGTTCTCTTGGATCTACACTACCATGGATTTTGGACGGCCATTGTTTTGGATCCTGGCCATGGCCAGAATGAAGCGAAAAGTAGAGCTTCTTCTGTTCTGGCGTCAATCTTGCAGCGGCATCCTCAATGTCAGATTTTAGACATGCCCCGAATGGTATAGCCAAAAGTGGGTCGTCCTCCAAGATACGCGTCCCCCGCGGGATCGGCGCAAGCGCGAAACATCCATAGCCTTTTCCAGGAATCTTTCGAACCTCGTAGTACTCGTTTCCTTCTATACACTGTCAGCCCTGACCAACTTACTTCGTCTAGATATCAGCCTGCTCTACTACTCTTCTTTCAGTATGAGATCTAGATTTTGATTACTTACCGGGAGGCGTCGGAATAGCTCCATCAGATACCACCATCTTGGAGTTCTCAAAAAGTGGAAAATCAAGACGGCTATAAGAGGTTGAAGCACCAGTCGCTTGCTTGCTCAAGAAATGAGTCTTTGCTACTTGATCGGGTGGTGAGTGAGGAGGCAATTGTTTGGATGATTTTGTAGGGACTTTGCTGCACTTTACTTTGGCACACTGAGTTATTAACTCTAGCCGTCTCTCACCCGTCCCGCCAATCGTAAATGCCCTGATTGGTCTTACCTTCGTTGACAAATACTCTCATGATCCCTGCGCTACTTTGCTCTCACGATCAAGAGCCCATATTTTACATTTTAGGCCATCCCGGGGCTGCTTTCCGACCCATATGATTATCCTCTTGGTTTAGTATGTGGGCCACTAGTAAGGGAGCGACACAGGCTGGGGTTGCAAGCAAAAACTATACTATATGAAGTGTAGCGGCCGTCGGCATTGCTTAAGAACAACACGGCGTTTCTGTCTGATATTATCAACTCAGCGATAGAGCCACACGAAGAAGAGCCTGATCATCATTTTTGGCGTCTGTACATACAAAACTTATACTAATCATCGCAGTAAAGTCAAGCCACAAACATCCAACAACACTAAGATCTCACAGGCTTTCCGCTCCACTCTAGATTCCAATATCGTCCTAAGAGATAGCAGATATTCGCTAGGCCAAAACCGCACATTACGAGCTTGGCTGACTAGTTTTCCGCGCGGCCGAGAACTTGCAACCGGATTTGGATTCCGAATCCATACAGCGTACACGTGTGTGTATGGAGGTAGAGTCAGGAAGATTTTGAGGCCAAGTATGTGAACGAAGTGAGTTTTTTTCTTATAGTATGTGAAGGAAAGTCCTCTGGTATATCACGTGAAGTTAAGAGTAGGCACGCAACTCAGATTGAGTTTCCAACTATCACCCCAGAAGATTCAATGTATATATTCTTTATACACGCTATTGACATGAAATCTCGACACATCTCATACCTTGACTATATTCCATCTACCATTTCCCATATGGACCTTTGTTCACTCTCTCCTTTCTTTCCTGGCACCTACCTTTTCATTTTTACTTCGAATATTCATACTCATTCTCAGAATCATACGGTCCCCCATGGAAGTCGCACTTCTGATCCTTCTTCTCTTTGATTCCCGGCCATTTAACCATACTAGAACCCACGTAGTGTTTCTTGCATGTCCACTTGTACTTTAGGTTGACGCAGCCGCATTTGTATTCGACTTGGTAGATTTCGCACATCTTGGTAGCTGGGCTCGGATTTGGATGGAGAGTGTATGAAGATATTGGGAGGTTTATGTGGGATGGTGAGAGGGGAAGTGAAGAGAATGAGAGGGAGATATACGCAGTAAAAGTGCGTTTGCAAGGTAAATGATGTTGTGAATTCACAGCCAGGGGGTTTTCATTCATGATCAAGTTGGCGTTGAGTGCTTGAATGAGAGAAAGATTCACCTGACCATTCCATCGTCACATGGAGCGTTCAATGGGCAAACTTCATTGTCCGCATTACCTAGTTCAAGCAGCAAACATTCACACAGACATTCAGATAGCCAAAAAATCCTTAGCTCACCGCCATGCCACACCTCCGGCTCTACCACAAACCGCACTCAATGCTTCACTAACCATTCCAAAACCCTCTCCGCAATCTCCAAATTATTCTTCTCCATAAAAAGCATATGTCCATTCCCCCGAATCCCCACATCAGATAACTCCAAATCCTGCACCTGCACCCCAGCCTGCCTCAAATACCCAACCGTACAATAATCATACGGTGCATGATAACTCGCCTCCGCCGTAACCACCAATACGGGAACTTGCGCAAGATTAACCAACCTTTTCGCCGGCTCAGTCTGCATAATACAATCAACATGCTCCGCATCCTTGGCCGGCACAACCACTTTCTCGATAAAGGAAGCGTTCGGGCCGGCAGGCGGATCATACGCGACTTCCAAATCGGTAATACCCCAGGCCCGCGCAGGCCCGGATGCAGCGACTTGATTGATAAACGGCGGACCAGAAGGTTCAAGCGCGACTATACTTTTCGTCAAATGCGGTCGTGCATCGCCGACGCGCCAGCCGTACGGCCCAGCCTGGCTGTGCGTCACGACATGCGCAACACCGATTTTATCAAGCAGCGCGGTATACGCCTTTGCGTTTTGCGATTCAAGAATCAGCACGTTGGTTTGGCGCTGGACTTGGGTGGCGTAGAAGGCGTCGAAGACGGGGTCGCCTGCTTTACCCGTGCCGGGCCATTGCGTGTGCAGTTTGGATTGCGGCCAGCGCGCGTGCGAGGAGATGGCTGTGAAGAGCGACTCTACACGCGAGGTGCTGGCGATTTCCATAGAGCCAAGACCTGGGAACCAGGGGGAGCGGCCGCGAGAGGGCTGGTCGGTTAGGTAGACGGTGTAGCCGTGGGAGAGGAAGAAGGAGGCCCAGCCTGGACGGCCATCGGGTGTTTCGAGGAAGTTCGTTCCTGTTTGGCCGTTTCCGGCGATGAAGACGATGGGGATGTCTTGTGTTTGGTTGCTTGGGGTGAGTTTCTCGACGTAGATCTGGTTGAGCATGTACTGCGCTGTTTCGTTTCCTACCTATATCTTTTGTTAGAAAGGCATGGTGTTGGTTGGGTTTGCTTTACTTACCGTGAGATTGGCATACTCGCCGCCTACATAAAAGTACTCGCGACGCGATGTTACCTTCTCAACAAAACCCCATGCAGCGGCTAGAAAGTGCCCGCAAAGCACCAGCACTGCAGTGCTCAGGTGAAATACTCCCATCTTGTCTATTGATAAGAGACTCTTGCTGGTCGGTGAAGACCAGCATGATACGACCTAGAAGGTGGGGAAGGGCCGACTGTCGTGGTGTACATATGCAATCTTCACTCAAACGAGGGCGCTAAAAGCATCTCACTCATATTTAGCCGACCGGCTCATCTTGGCATACGGAAATTTTTGTGTGTAATCCCACGGACTTGGACCTTGCCAACAAAAGATCCCATCGTATCTAGGTGATTTGGTGTAATGTTTAGCGAAATCTACACATATCTAGCATGCCGTTCCTCGGCCGGAATTCTATATTCCGTGCCACATATACACTAAGGAGACATCATTGAGAGAATTCTATTTCATCAAGCCCTTCTATTTGGATGAGCCATTGAAGCTCTTCATACAGCTCTTCATACAGCTATAGATTGGATCAGTAGGTGGCTGGTAGGACACTCAGTCGTCCGCCATCTGTGAGCAAAACATTCCCGTTGATATAGGCACCCGCTCTACTCGTCAGGAACAACAAAGCTCCCGCCATATCCTTGCGGTCTCCAACTCTTTGCTGTGGAAGAAATTCTCTCGGATAAGACTCTTTGAAGTTCATGTCGGCAGTAATCTCACTTGGGTACACTGCGTGTTGTTAGCATATTGCAAAGACAGCTCATCAGCTCTCGTGATACTGGCACATCCAAAATCTTCCTGATGAAACAAAGCAAGAAATTTGCAACTTACACCCAGGTGCAAGGACGTTGCAGCGGATGCCGAATGGCACTAGCTTAGTGGCGAGCTGCTTCGTGATGTGTATAACTGCTGCTTTTGAGCCCGCATATGCGAAACCCGACATTAGAACACGACTGAAAGCCCCAGCACTACTGACACAGATGAACTGGCTATCTTGCTCGACATTGCCAGTCTTGTTGCCCTTATCTAGCAATTCAAGGAACGCGATAGCAGTGAAGAAGGCTCCGTTGACATTGACGTTATATGCCTGGTTGAACTCGTCTGAGTCCCAGTTCCATAGGTAGTCTTGCGTTTCCTTCAGCGTTGCATCATCTTTCAAATAACGCATTGTTGGGCCAATGATGCCGGAGTTTGCAACTACAACGTTGACGTAGCCGGTTTTTTCAGCGATATAATTGGCCGCCGCGGCAAGATCCGGCTTCGAAGTTACATCTGCTTTGAAGTAATAGATGTTGCCATGTTTCTGCACATATCGATTAGTGAATCTGATAATGATTTCCAGTGGAGTTGAATTGCTGAGGTTTAGAGCCGGAAATGAGCAAACATGACAGTGTAATAAGAAGCACCGTCGAATTGTGAAACAACGAAACTTACCGCTGTAGCCGCAGCCTCCTTCAAAACCTCCTCTCGTCGTCCGAGGATGTAGACAATTGCACCATTGGCCTCCAAGGCTTGAGCAATCATCAAGCCGATACCTTTGGATTGGTCAGTCCGGTAAATGACTCAACGGTTCGGAATCATCACCTGTCCCTCCTCCAGTAACTACGGCTATCAAGCCTTTGACGTTGAAGAGGTTGCCTGCATCAATATCCGCCATTGTGATGTATGTTGGCTCAGGAACGAGATTGGTCTATTATTGTACACGGTACAAATATTGACGAAGCTCAGTTGAAAGTGTGGGAGGAATCGGATGCAGATCATGCGGCTGCGCGCTACTACTAGTAGATGACATGCTTCGCCTGCTGTTGATAGGGCCGAGAGATACCCCGTGCCAACGCATCCGACTTTGCATCCTGGATGCTCACCACGTCCCATCACATGACACTATCATGCTCATAGAAGGATTAATCACATAGTTAGAATAAGATCTAAAAAGACCTTTTGAATCTTACAGAACCGGTTTCCACCTGGAATAGCGGTTCTTGCCTCGAGACTAACTTGCCTCGATTTGGTATCTCGTTTAGAAAAATCACAGATTTGCGGCGGTGCACCAGACTCGGTGTGGTATACTACGAATTTGCTAGGCACAAATAGGTATCCGCAAATGCCACTCCCTAGATAGTGAGTGATGCGTCCGATCGACCACGTCGACTATACATCAGTTTTTGATAGTAGCTTTTCGCTTTATCAAAGGCAAGCAGGTCCGTTACGCCAAGTTGACAATGGACATGTCTCGTATTTCTGTCACAATACACCATTCTGACCACACGTGCAATCGTTCAAGTACTTAAAGCAGGCGCTCTTAGGTACCGAAGTCTCCATTGGTCAGTAGGGTCTAGGACATCTAAAGTAGAACTATCGCCTTGGATCTTCGTAGCAGATATCCTAGTACAAACTGACGCCACTCTAAGTTGTGTAGTCTGAAAATTGGAAGTGGTGTATGCTTGAGGTGCGGGGCCGGCTATTGAGCATAGTATTCCGTACTGATCCGCTTCACTGATATAGGTTCGGTACTTGGAACATGCCAGAGAGAGGAAAGCGATAAATCATCCGACACTGGTTGGTTTGTGTTGGTGTCGGAGTGTTGCAGCGCGTGGGAGGGAGCTATCCTACGACCGAGGTTCGGGGTAGTAAACCCCACGGATGCGAGCTATCTCCGTGTGGGGTAACACCCAAATGGGTAATGCGGGCAGCGCGTATCTGCCTAGGTGGCCCAACGCACCGCCACCTTGCCAATACTTGCTCGGCTTCTCTTTCATCCTCTTTGCCGTTCTCTTGATTACAGGTTGTTTGTTTGTTCATGCCTTGACTGGCAGTACCTAGTTCATTTCTTCTATCTTTCAAGCCACAATGGGCCTTTCTCCAATTGAGCAGCTACCCGTCGAGCTCCTCCAGCACATATTCATTGAATCAGGCTGCAGTTTTACGTTACTGCAAACATCTCCATATATCGCGACGCGTCTCTCGTCCGAATACGCCTACAACTGCACTTGCGACTACTATCTAACTGAGGTACATGGTGAGCATGGCAAGCAATCCGTGGCGCAGACCTACATCTTTGCTACCAAGTGGATGACATGGGACTTCTTCAAGTCGTGGTGTCTGCGGCGATTCGGAGCTCGAGGATGCTTGTGTGACCGCAAGCCGGAGGAGGGCTGCTTTGATGCACAGTGGCCTCCAAACTTCCATGATGCGACGACTATGGTCTTTTCACGAAGCCATTTACCGCGCCTTGCTTTTGTCAAAGGCCGGTTACCAAAAAAATTGCTGCAAGGCCCATGGAATCCGGATAAGATCGAGTTTCTGCGATTCTTGTTATGGACTACAAGCATGAACGTTGACTGGTGTAACCCCGATATGGCCCAATTAGCCGTTCAAGGCAGGCTCCAGGCGATGAAGGAACGGAACTTGGAGGCAGTAGAGCTGTTTAATAACAATCGGCGACTAGGCAAACCACCCAATTTGGAAACAGTGCATTTTGCTGTCGTGGAAGCTGGGTGCGATCGCTCCATCGTGTACGATACGTTAGAGGGAGCGAATATGTGGAATCGTAGTACTGATCCCCATTACGCTGAAGCGTTGCACAGATGGTGTGACGAGCAAGTAGCAGCTGGTAGCCAGAAGGGCCTGTGGCTGCGTAAAAAGTTGGAAGAGTCACTGGTTCTGAGAAAAGGGGACATCACAAATGAATACGACTCAGGGAAGACGTATCCGCGAAAGTCATGTCTGACCACTGAGACTGAGGACTATGATGGCGGACCAGATGATCAGTTAATAGTCAATGAGCTTGAGTGGAACAAGGTACGTTGACATCTCTTTTTTCACTATCACAATGTCCGCATTCCTCTAGGATGGAGCGTTCCACATATCTCCAACATTACCCCTTGAGGTGTGGCTGCCGTAATTAAAAGGCAGCAAAATACCAGCTGTTTGAAATTTTCAAGCTATTGGTGCCACGTTGCGATAGAACGAAGTCATGGTTCCTTGATTTCCTGCCTGGAAATTGCGCTTAGAGCTAAATATGCTCTAGGTGATACCGCAACGAGGATGGCTCATTGCAAGAGCTACGGGTTACAACTACCAGACTATCAATCATAACTTGAGCTGGCCTGAGATCACTCGGAATCCAGGATATCGCATGTATCGAGGCCCCAACTCACCTCGTCGATTGCAATGCTGGGTAGAGCACAGCGGAGCGTCACGGATCATTGACTTATGGCTAAGTCCGCCTGCTTCGTGCGAAAGTACTCCTGAGCTTCGCCAACGCCGAACCTCGTTTAAGTACACTTCTTGAATTAAGATGAAACGGGTGATGGGAAGTGATCAAGCGAAAGTATATTGTGCTCGTTTATTGTGTATGATGGCTTGAAGCACATTCGACGCCAATCTCGCATCTACGCCAAAACCTCGACACAACAATCCAGCTTTTCGTCATAGACATTTGTTGCCTTGCACAGCAACTCTTATTTCATCAATGCCCAACCACCTTGGCTTTCTTTCCACAGCCGAACGAACATTCTGCTAATACTGCACTATAGCCTTATCTTCTATTCGGCTGGTTCAGAGTTTCGCCATTCCGAAGAACGGGAATTCACGGTGTCACAAGATCTGATCTTGGAGATTACTGGGTACACATCTACGGTCAGTGCCGTTTGTGTAAGGGTAACTACGGACACACAGTCACAAATGGACACCATTTCTGGCTGGAGATGTGGGTCACGCAGACCAAGCAACAGACACATCTGCAGGGCGAGTGAGCAGTGAATTTCTGTTTCATCTTCGATTCGGGGACTCAAGAATTGAGCAAGTTGGGATGTTGAACTCTAGGGTGCCTGGATTTTCTGGCCTGAAGACATCTTTGCGAAACCCCGCTATAACTTGCTCTTCGCCTCACGACTGACAAAACCACAAATTGGCCTCATTCTGACCATTTCAATCGTATCCGTCTTGTTTCCCGCGACCACCCTTTGGAATTCTGTAAATGCATCGTCATTCAGCAGTACGCCCTCTATACGCATACTCTTCGCCTCCTCATCTTCCGACACCAGAATTGCATCAAGTCCCTTTACGTCACTCACGGCTTTCTCAAAGATTCCCTCCCAGTCTCTTTTTGGCGTTACGGATTGATTGGCCCTCGAAGGGACGTTCAGCAGAGCAATAACAGGGATCGAAGAAATAGATAACGTTGAACCCAGCATCATTTTATTTACAATAGGACAATTGTGCACTTCAGGGGGCTGAGCGAGAACTTCTCCGGTAGCGAATAGTTGAATGAGGTCTTGTACGGGTTTGGTAGCCATATGTGCATCATTTGACGCTTGGTTTGCGTATCTGTTCTTTATTAGCATGTCCTACAATATTGATACACCTGGAGAAAACGGACTCTTCAATTACGTATAACTCATTTCCCGCCTGATCATCGTATGGCAGGGCGCACACATACTGCAACACCTTGGGCTCGTTTGGCGTTGTGTAGTCGATGATCTTCTGAAAGGATTCGATGGCCTTTTGTCGGGCCTGTGTGTCTTTGCATACGAGTCTCGCAGTAGTAAGTATAGACGCCATTTTCAAGCAATATACCAATCGCTGCAAGAAACAATTCTGTTCGGAACCAGCGGGTTTATAAAGCATAGTACTTACCAACCCCGCAAGCTCGGAACTGGGAGTCCGAGATTTCGGAATAAGTGACCCGTACCTGCATTCACACTGCATGGCTGAAACCCAAATGGCTCTTGATTTGACACATGGCATCTTCTACCAAAGGATATGCTCTCATGGCTTGCTGTCAACATACCTCCAGATGCGAGATGCGCCAAAAACAGACCCTCGCGTCACCACGTGAGCTCGCGTATCCTGACGTCACCAACCCATTACCCTTGCACACCACCAGACGCGGCTTCTTTCGTACCCGTCTAGTCCTTCAGCTTCGCAAGGTACAACCAAACATCCTATGTCCCTCCCCCGCTACATCCGCTCTCTCCACCCATCCTTCTCCACCCCATGGCGTACATACTCCTCACTCAATCGTAACAGTAGCATACCCTTCAACTTCTTCTCCGGCTTCACCGCCGCCACCATGGCCTCCTCATCCCCCACCAGCCCCTTCCCTTCAACACCATACACCCCAAAATACGATAAATGGCCATACGCACCCTCGGACTTTCAGCGCTACGACGAGAACCCAGATGGTGACTTCTACCGGCAACCGCGACTCGTGACGCATATTGATGACCCGGCTATTGCGCGGTTGACGCAATATTACGACACAGTTTTGCCCCGGAAGGGGGAGATGCTGGATATGTGTACGAGTTGGAAGTCGTTCTATCCCTCATCTATCAAAGAAGCGATTCAAAAGGGCGAGCTGAAAGTCTATGGCGTGGGTTTGAATAAAGAAGAGATGGCGCTGAATGGGTGTTTTCTGGGCAAAGAGGAGAGGTGGAGGGTGCTGGATTTGAATGCGCCGCCGCATGATGTTAGAGTAGGGTGGGAAGGTGAAGAATTGCAGTTTGATGCTACGACGTGTGTGGTTAGTGTGGATTACTTGAATGAGCCGCTGGAGGTTTGTAGGAAGTTGCTTGAGGCGACTAAGGAGGGGGGAACGGTGCATTTGGTTATTAGTAACCGGTGCTTTCCGAATAAAGTTGTCAGGAGGTGGTTGATGTTGGATGAGCGGTCGAGATTGGAGTTTGTGGGAGGTAAGTTGAGTGGTGATGCTTTGGGTGTTGGGGTAATTGCTGACTTGATAGATTATCTTCACTTTTCTGGATGGAAGGATGTAGAAATCGTTGATCTTTGTGCGAGAGAGGAAAAGGGCATGCGAGTCACAGACGACCAAGGTACGGTTCTTATACGCTCACCACATCTTCCAGACCATTTGGACCCACTGTGGGTAGTTCGAGCTACGAAGCAGGCGTAGTGTACATGAGTGTATATGATGAGTGATTAATTCCTCTATGAATGTAATTTTGTGAACTGTTTGGCCTGCGCTAACGATTATTATTTGCAAATACAAGAAACTTAATTCCACAGCTTCTTGATACCGAACTTTTGTACACAATTTCCCTCCTCATCCCTGCTTCGCCCACGGCTCCAGCGCATCAATCATCTTCTTCCACTTTCCCCCCTGCCACCCACAAATGCGCTCCCACTCCGGCAGCGTCGCCTTAACAAACTGCAACCAACCCCCCACAATAACATCCGCATACGTCAACTTTGCACCCTCCAAAAACGGTCCCTGATCCTCAAACCGCCACATCTTTGCAAACTCCTCCATATCCGCCTCAAAAGCCTGTAGAACCTTATCCCTAGCCTCACCCTCGACACATAACTGATCCCAGCTCTCCACATGCAAGCGCTCCACAAACTCTCGTTTCGTCTGCTCCGCCGTCTCAGGATTCAGCGGCATATAATTCGAGCACAGCACCACGTGCTTTGTAAACAAGGCGTCAACATGCGCATTGAAGACGCGGTAGACGCCGATTATGTTGGCTGCAGGGAAAAGGCGTTCCCCGCTATCTGCGTACGCGCGGTCGAGATACACGGCTATGTCGAAGGAGTCGCCGACCCAGGAGTCGCCGTCGGAGGAGTTAGGGTCCCGGATCATGGGGAGGGTGTAGAAGTCGGAGTTGTCTGGGAACTTGCGCACAGGGTCGACTTTATGCGCAAGACGGGTGGATTTTACGTCGGGGAGTTCGACCCAGTTGGTTTTGTAGGGGAGGGCTTTGATGTTGAGTGTGTAGCTGAATTATCGTTAGTTGAACATGCCTCTCTTTGCTGTTTGTCTTACTTTTTTTAATATATAAAGAGGGGGAAGTTGAAGGAAGACAAACCGTGTTTTCCATGGGTTCGGAGCGTAGCATCGTTTTGGGGGGCCAGAGGCTATATCGAAGAATTCAATTGGGGATTCTGGTGTTGCCATTTTGCCTAGATGGTTGGTCTGTGTGTTGTTGCTGGTTTCGAGGAAACTTGTCATGCAGAGATGGGATGCTAAGTGTTGGTGGTGTCTGTGGGATGGTAGTTTGGTCTCGTGTATATATGTACGTGCTTCTGTGCTGGTCAAGGAACCACAGCATGTAGTAACGTAGTAAGGCGTCCACAGACCAATCAATTGGACATAGGATGAGTCGATATGATACATGCGCGGTGCATGTAGAGTAGTGGGGCGAGGCGAACCAACTCTAATCTCATGCAGACGCCTTGTACCACACCTTCTTAGCTTGCGAAGGCTAAACTAGTATAGAGACAGGAGTTCGGCAAGGACTGCAGTCTTGTGCACACGGACTGGTTTGGTGTAGACCCTTATTTGTGGCCTTTTGTGCGTCATTATCGTTGTTGAGCAAAGATGAGTTATTGTGGCTGTGCTTTTTGTACGACGGAAAGCGGTTGGTGGGAACACAACCACAAACTCAATCTGCCGAACTCCTCTTAGTGCACAACCACCGCCCTTGGCGAGGACCTGCATCATTTGTATAATATCTATCGCTGACTACTTGCGTGTACGTCAAATCCTATGCTTCAATAACTTCCCGCAGCGCCTTTGCACTCTTCTCTAACAGCTCCTTCTCCTCGCTGCTCAATGGCATTGGCACACTCCTTACAATTCCCTTTCTCCCCAAAACTGCCGGCACACTCAGACAAACGTCCAAATCATCCTGATAATGACTAACTGGCCGGATGTTCCTCTGGTCGAAAAGTATAGACTTGCAGATACTGGCTGCGACACCACCGATGCCATAATTGGTCGCACCCTTACTTTGAATAATATTTGTCGCTTTATTCTTGGTTTCTTCTGCAATAGCCTTCTTGTCAATAATCTGATTTGATTCAATGGCTTTATCGAGAGGTACACCTCCAATGCTAGCAAGACTCCAGGCGACAAACTGAGATTCGCCGTGCTCACCCAACACGTAAGCATCGATACTGGAAGCTGCGACCTCAGCTTTCAGGGCAAGAATACCACGGAGGCGCGCTGAGTCGAGAAAAGTGCCGGAGCCGATGACTTGCTGTTTGGGAAGCCCAGAAAATTGTTGGGCGAAATAGGTGAGTACATCGACGGGATTGGCGACAAGAAGCAGGACGGTATCTGGGCGAAAAGGCTTCATATCGCTAATAGCGGATTCGAGAATAGCTTTATTGCGGCCGATAAGATCGGTTCGGCTCTCACCTGTGCATTGATGAGTTCCTGGGGCCTCGCCGATATCTCTCTATGCTCAATTGATATGTACCTTTCTTTTGTTTTGCGCCAGCGGTTATAACTACAACATCGCACTGCCCAGCTTCTTTGTGTGTTCCTGATCTTATGCGCGTTGTGGTATTTCCATGAAACGTGGCATCAGAAAGGTCTTGTACCTGAGCATCGCGGACTTCTTCTTTTGGATCCACTATCAAGATATCACCCGCAACCGGGTCCATGATGAGTGAGTAGGCAATTGTGGCACCTACATCGCCTGCACCAAGGATAGCAATCTGGGAGGTGAGTTTCGGATCTTGAGACATAGTAATAAAAGGGAAGTGTAAGATGCAAAGGAAAACATAGTGGTGGGATTAATGAGTACCTTTTAGCTTGATGATTCTTCTATTAAACCAGCTTATGACTTACGTCATTCTAATGGCGCTAGTGTCCATGTTCTCCGTAGATAGCCCTGTATTACTTTATGCGATCATTATACATCACTGCATGACGCCACACCCCATTGCATGCCTTCCGTGAAGCTGTAGCAATGACGAGCGACCCATTGTAGACGGATCCGTCTGCCTTTAAGCTTATACATATTCAACATTGCTGGAGATCCGTCTCGCGCGTCGTGTAGACCTTCGAGGTGGGCGCTGTGGTTTTTTCCGAGCTAGCTAGTAGATGTCTTAGTATGAGATACGGGGCTCGTATGCAAAACTGAAGAAAGCATCGCGAAAGTCAAGTACATTCACGATACCTTGGGTGAAGTGGTCGCGGCTGGTGCAGTTGTCTTCTTCTTCCGGGGCTGTGTCGAAAGACCTATCTTGAGCAGCAAGGGTATGACATCGGAGGGCTTATTGCGACTGATCGTTTTTCGACAAACGGGACATTGTGAACGTTTGGTCTCATGGGGGCCTGTACGGTTCTCACCGGCGATGAGAGCTTCCATGAGGCAGGTGTGGCAGAATAGATGACCTGTTGGAAATCAGTATAATTTCGATATTCGTGCATGCAGAGTAGGACATACCACATGCTGTGGCTGTAAGGTCGGTGGGATTGTCCATGCAGATGACGCAATTAAAGGAGTTGAATGTAGTGAACGTCTCGTCGGGCCTGGCTTGCGCCTTGACAGCATCCTCGCGTTGCTTCTGCAGGACCTGTTGGACTGATGAATTCTCAGTCAAGTCAACTTCTTCCACCGTGATGGGCTCCACGCTCTGCTGCTTAGCCTCCTTGGCCGTGCCGTCTTCTCTCTTGCGCCGCTTTGCTGAGGGGCCTGGTGTAGGTGACTGCCTCTTCCTTGTGCGAGGGGGCGAGTCAGGAGCGCTGGTCAGGTCTACGTAGCCATTTGCCAGGCGGTCAGGTCGCTGTGAAGCCTGTGACCCCTGTGGATGTGCTCGCGTGGTAGGCGGCATCTCTGGTTGTAGAGGGCGGTAGGGTTGCCAGTCAAACGGGGAGTATCTACCGTGGTCGAGGCCGGCCGGGTTGAGGATATGGTCAAAGAAACCAGTGCTGAAGGGGAGAGGTGGTGCGCGGTAGGGCTCCTCGGACTGACGGTCGGCAGCTGTGGCGGCTGTGGCGGCTGCAGTAGCGGCGTATTCGTCGTCAAAGAAGGCGTCAATGCCTAAGGGTGAAGGTGAAGGCGAGGTGTGACGGTCCGGGTCGAGGTTGTCAGGCGTGTGGGACGAATGTGTTGGTGAGGCGATGTCATTGTCGTCGTCCAAATGGGCGTAGTCGGCCGACATGGTGGCGCAGGCGTCGACCTACTGGGTGGCAGCGGCAGAGGCGGCAGCAACGGCAGCAGCCTTTTCCTTCACCGACAGGATCGCGAGGCCAGCAAGGGGCCTGAACATGGTATCGCAGAGGCCGCCGGGTCGGGCGTGCTGCACAGCAAGAGATGGGCGAACGGGGGTGCATGCGGTGGTCCGCCCGCGTAGGGCTGAGAGGCTGAGAGGCTGTGGCGCAGGCAACGCCAAGCACAAGAATAGTTTGGTCGGGCCTCAGCACCATGACGACACAATCCGGCATTCTAGCACTGCACTGCACAAAACTTCTCGCGACACGGCCTGAATGCGACGAGATGCAGCAATGCGCTTGATAAACGTGCGATGATGCGCTGCTCAGGACGGCCATTGACCGCCACCACCGCTGCCCGCCGGTCTTGTCCTTTTGCTGCGCATACGCCTTCTGCAAACCCCCCACTGCGACGATGCCTCGCCACAGCCCCGCCACCATCCAGTCGCAAAGGCAGCACCACCCAGAAGACCAGTCTCAATAGTATGTTATTGCCGCCACGTAAGGTCAGTTCCTGCATAATAACACTTTGCAGTCCCCTCGGAAGCCCGATTCAGTCCTATTGGCGTTCAGCATCTTTCTTCCCACATCCACCACCAAGTCTTTCCTGGCGCAGAAACCAAGCCCCCACCTGAACTCATATCCCTCTCCAAGGATCATCTCACCCGCCATGACTTGCTGGGGAAGAACCAGGATCAGAGCCCGCCTGTCGGGTTCGATATGCCCGAGCTGCAGGGCACGACATTGGACGAGCACTTCTACAAGCTAGGCATGGACGCTGCTGAACCATACTTGGGCATGGCAAAGAGGCTAGTATGGGCAAATCCACCACCAAGGCCAAAGCAATGGGTGCGGCAGAGCGGCTGGACCAAGTATAACAGCGACGGGACGACGGAAGCAGTGCAAGTGCCAGACGAGACGATGCTCGTTTTCGATACCGAAGTCATGTGGAAAGAGACATCGTTTGCGTGCATGGCGTGCGCCGCCAGTCCGACAGCGTGGTATGCTTGGCTATCGCCCTGGCTGCTAGGAGAGTCAGAGTCGGATCGACATCTTATTCCCTTTGGAGATACATCAACACCGCGTGTCATTGTAGGCCACAATATAGGCTATGATAGGGCTCGTATAGCAGAAGAGTACAGCATATCACAGTCCAAAAACGCTTTTGTTGATACCATGTCGTTGCATGTTGCTTCTAACGGCATGTGCTCGCGGCAACGTCCCTCCTGGATGAAACATCAGAAGAGCAGAGAGCAGCGCGATAAGACGGCTACTGCTGATGAGAATGCGGATTTGTCATCGGTGCTGAACCCAGACATACCACCGGATGAAGAAGAGCTTTGGATGGGAAGGAGTGCAATCAACTCGTTACGAGACGTAGCCCAGTTTCATTGCAACATCACCATAGACAAGGCAAAGAGAGAATATTTTGGCGAACTCGATCGCGCAGGCGTGCGTGATATGCTAGATGAGCTGCTCGACTATTGCGCTGCTGATGTGGAAATCACTCATCGTGTCTATCAGAAGGTCTTCCCACTCTTCCTCGAAACGTGTCCACACCCGGTCAGCTTTGCTGCACTGCGCTTTTTGGCTGCCGAAATACTGCCAGTCAACGAGACTTGGGATGCTTACATCAACAACGCAGAGGCAACGTACCATAAATTGGACAACGGGGTGAAAGAACGGTTGATCGCGCTTACAGAAAAGGCACTGGAGGTCAAAGATCAACCGGATGTGTACAATAACGACCCTTGGTTAAGTCAGCTGGACTGGTCAGGCCAGGAAGTGAAGATGGTCAAAGGAAAGAAGAAGGGTGACCCGCCCCGACCTGCAGCGCGACAGAAGAAACCGGGGATGCCCAAGTGGTACAAAGATCTTTTTACCAAAAATGATGGTCCCCTGAATCTTACCGTGCGAACTCGATTGACGCCCATATTGCTCAGGCTGGCTTGGGATGGCCACCCCCTGGTCTGGTCAGACAAGTACGGGTGGACGTACCGAGTACCCATGGACGAAGTGTTTGCCTACAACGAAAAGGGAATCAAGGAGTTGGACATGTCTCAAGAAGAAAATTTGAAGTTGCGTGACGATACTACGCATGCATATTACAAGATCCCACACAAGGACGGTCCGCTTGCGAGATGTACAAATCCGCTTGCCAAGGGCTATCTACAGTATTTTGAAAAGGGCAAGTTAGGCTCAGAGTATGCATACGCCAAGGAGGCATTGGAGATGAATGCTTCATGTTCATACTGGATCAGTGCGAGAGATCGAATCATGTCGCAAATGGTTGTGTACAACAAGGAAGCAACCAATGCACCCAGACTGGTATCTTCCTCCGCCAAGACGGGAGGGAAGGTTGGGTTCATACTGCCGCAAATCATACCCATGGGTACTATCACAAGACGCTCGGTTGAAAATACGTGGTTGACTGCGAGCAATGCGAAGAAGAACCGCGTTGGGTCCGAGCTGAAATCGATGGTACGAGCACCCAAAGGATACTGCTTTGTCGGAGCCGATGTCGATTCACAGGAGCTGTGGATCGCTAGCTTGATCGGTGATGCAACCTTTAAACTGCACGGCGGTAATGCGGTTGGTTTTATGACACTAGAGGGGACCAAGGCGGCAGGCACCGATCTGCATTCGCGAACAGCGTCCATCTTGGGCATCTCGAGGAACGATGCCAAAGTGTTCAATTACGGTCGCATATACGGTGCTGGCCTACAATTCGCGTCGACACTACTGCGGCAGTTCAACCCCTCGTTGACGGACGCCGAAACGTCCAAGACGGCAAACGATTTGTATCAAAACACAAAGGGCAAAAAGACGACGCGGAAGGTGCTACGCGAGAGACCGTTTTGGCGCGGAGGTACGGAATCGTTTGTCTTCAACCGACTAGAGGACTTTGCAGAACAGGAAAGGCCGAGGACACCAGTGCTTGGGGCTGCCATTACAGAGGCACTGCAGAGACGATATCTTTCCAAAGGCGGCTTCATGACTTCACGGATCAATTGGGCTATTCAGTCTTCTGGAGTCGATTATCTCCATCTCCTCATTGTATCCATGGACTACTTGACACGTCTGTACAATCTTGACTGCCGGTTAGCCATCACGGTACATGACGAGATCCGGTATCTGGTGAAGGACAAAGACAAGTACAAGGCAGCTATGGCGCTCCAAGTGGCGAACGTATGGACACGAGCCATGTTTGCACAGCAAATGGGCATCAACGAGCTTCCACAGTCGTGCGCATATTTCTCAGCAGTGGACATTGACCATGTGTTGAGAAAGGAAGTAGACATGGACTGCATTACGCCGAGCAACAAGGAAGCGATACCTCACGGGGAGAGCCTTGATATCATGGCACTGCTCGAAAAGGGTACAGAAGCACAATTGAAATCATCGCCAAAGTCAAAGGATGCACCAGCACCGCAGCAATACACACACGCCTTTACACCGCGCACGCCAATTATCAACACACTGTCGGGGTCTGACAATGCAACGCCAATGGCACTTGCCTATATCAAAGCGCAAATCACATCTTCGGACGAGGAGCTGTTGGAGATTACGAGACCGCTGCGGGCGCCAGCTGCTCGGCGGACGAAAGCGTCGATTGAAAAAGAAGCAAAGGAAGCGGCGGAGCAGCTACATAGTTACGAGCCAATAGGTCATTGCCTGGATGTCAAAGAGTTGTGGGGGCATGTTCAGGAATCAGCAGGTAGCAGAGACAAGAGTAGGAAGAGGCAAGAGTGGCTGCAGAGCCAGTATGCGTCGTCTCGCAGCGGGCCTACGGTGAGGGCAGACAGATGGTGAGATGTCGTGCATGTATAGTTGCCACTAGCGGCTGTTGTTCCCTTTCTTTTGATCTATATTTTCTTCTTCTTTTGTATATGACTTGTTTTATGATATGGTCACGAGCCTAATATGTAAAAAAATTGGAAGTATAGGTGCATGGATCGGGGGTGGGGTTTCGTCATGCATTTACAAGGCGCATAAAAACTACCTTTTAATGAAGGCGCTAGCAACGTGTTGGCAACTCGGAGTATTTCTTATTTGTTTATTTGTTTGCGCAGATAATGAGTCAATGATAAAGAATGACGAGGAGACTTTGACCGCTCATGGTTACGAGGATAGGGCCTGGTGACACGTGGGCGCAATGTCATGTGGGGTGTGGGAGAGGTGTGGGAGAGGTGGGAGGAGCGGGATGGGATGGCATGTCGGAGCAATGATCCCACCGACGGCAGACCATGGGATGATCCCACGCAGTGACCAACAATTGCATGACTGGTATTGTCGCGCTGCGCGGAAACATGGGATCTGGATGGCGAAAAGTGCACTATACTTACACCATACTATGTACTACGTAGTAGTACCACAGCAGACTAGTTACCGTAGTATTGTTGAGGCTGAGGCAGTGCGTGGCAAGCAGCCAGACAGCAAAGAAAGAGACTATTTTCTCGGTAGATTCGTCTAGAAGGGCCGGCATCCGTGGCGTGCCGATGCGACGGGCGAGCAAGGTCCCTTTTTTTTAGCCTGACAATGCATCTGCATCACGCTGCTGCCGGGCAAATTACGGGTGAAAGAGGCTCAACCTTAGCCTTGCATCGCTGGGTACATGGCGGTACATGTATAGCTTGTATATGTTGTTCCAAAAAAGCAGAATACACGGCGTTTTTGCGGCAAAGAAAAGCCAAGGGGGAAGCTGATTGACAGGCCTGCAACATGAATGCGGTTAGAAGCTGAATCTTCGAGGTCCATGCTCCCCCGCAACCCCAAGTTCTGAGGCGGTGGATTTCTATTTTTCCATTTCCTTGTTCCGCCAAGTATCCCCCATTTTAACCCCCTGGCACGGATCGCTCACCGCCCACTTTTGCCCCTAAAGTTTCTGCTCGCCGCCTTGTCGGCCTGGCCTCGCCTCGCCTCCTTTACCTTTTTTTGCCCCGTCCGTCCTTCACAGACCCACCCATCACAATCCTCGTTTTGTTGGGGTCCCACTTTCTTTATATAAACGTTTTTGCTCACACCTTTTTTCGGTCCGTCACTCAGTTTCCACCCCCACACAGTCACTCATCAATCGATAAGACAAACGTTGCTGCAGTTACTTTCGTTCAGACGGACTCAACTCTTCAAGTTTCAACTTCTTTCGAGGAATACATTCACGACTCGACCCCTTCGCTTCTAGTCATACGTGGCCCCCGTTTATATATATATAAACACTCGCTCTTCTACTACACACCACACTACCAAAACCAACAAAACAACACCCCAATAAATTCAATCATGTTCGCCCGCATCGCCACCCGTGCCCCTATCTCCGCTGCCTTCGCAGCCAAGCGCGTCACTCCTGCCGCCGTGCGCTTCAACTCCTCCAGCTCCTCCAGCAGCGCCGCCCGCATGATGGAAATGGCTGCGCAAGCCGAGCGACCCAGTACGTCTTTTCCCCTACACCCACACAAACCCCACGAACCATGTTCTAACTCCCTACCCTCACAGACGCCACCGAAGCGGCCGTCCCCGTCATGTGGGCCCTCTGCGGTGCCCTCACCTTCGCCGCTTGGAACCGCGTCAGCGAGCGCAATGCCAGCCACGAGGTTGAGAAGCTGCTTATTGTTTAAGCATGCTACGACGAAACATTGACGACATACTACTATACTACTTCTTCTACGATACCCCCCGACATACCATACCTACTACCGGCCTTTTGTTGTCACACATTCACACGCACACACCTCTTTCCTTCTTCTTTCCTCGATTTAGATGGACGTCTATCTTTTTTTTCTTTAACTTGTAAACACCTTTCTATTCTTCCTTGGTCTGCTTCGCATCTTTTCTTGGGAGCGATAGAGAGGAATAGTAATAGACGGTTCAAGATGTGGTAGAGCATTTTTTAGGATTTGCTTTGCTTGCTGCGTGGTCAGGATTCTTCTGTCTTCTTGTGCGAGTAGATAGATGGTCTTTTCTTATTTTGGTAATTGAAATGTTACTTGACTAGCTTATATGACTCAATGCAACATAACTACGTGAACGCTGTAAATCTTTTGCTGACATGCATTCTCCCCCAGACTAAACTCCGTTATGTGACTTCCATGCTGTATTGCACTACCATGTCCAATATGCATACGTATGTAAAACTACCATCGACTATACCACTCCAAATAATCCCATCAGGTCCCAAGGCATACCAGCCAGTTGAATACCCCATATCCACCAAAGCCAGCAACGCAAAAGAAGCGAAGAAGAATTAAACATGCCACTATGCCAGCATTCTAAATTACATTCTCATAAAAAAACACCCACTATGTCCATTCAATCGTTCAACAAGACTGTGTGCTTGCAAAAAAAGAAAAAGAAGTAGAAGAAAAGAATTCCTCCCTTTGACCTTGATTAAGTTGCCTTGCTTCCCCCCCAAAAAAGATCCCTCCACACCCATCAAGGCATTCAAAAGCCCTCCTCGTCACCATTAAATACCCTTTGATCCCCCCCGAAACTCATTGATTCCCATCATCATCATCACCCCATTCATATATCCCCCATGCTCAACATCATTGTTTCCCACTCTTCCGTTGCTTAACCCTCGACCCAATCGAATCCTGCTCCACCGCCACCGGATGTGCCGGAGTAGGCGTAACAGGCGCCATCTGCTCCACCTTGTCCATCTGCTCCTTCGTCTCCTTCTCCGCTCCATCCTCCCTGATCAGCTTCTCCTTGGCCTCCGTCTCCTCATCTGTCGGCTCGTACTCGCTGCGATCATCCTCCATATCCTTGTACACCGCAAACCTGTACGCAATCCTGCAGATCAAAAAGCCCCATATCAAATTGACGGCTTGCAAGGAAGCAAGGAGACCGAGGGTAATGTACTGGCTGATCCAGCATTTGTATTGTTGGGTTTCCCAGTTGAGTTCAAAGGGACCGACGGTTTTGAATGCAGTGAGGACCGACCAGATGATTTTGAGGTTGATGTAGTGGCGGCCGTAGCCCCAGACGAGCATGAAGACGAAGAAGTACGGCGTGACGATTGGGGAGTCGATGTAGTTTAGGCATTTGGACGACTGCGTTTTGCACTTCATGTCAGTATACAGACTTTTGACAATCTTGATAATGATAAGGGAATAGGGGGGCGGATGCAAGACTTACGGCAAGGAAAAAGTCGGAAATGTCGTGGGTAATGTACACAGCGATGCCCATGTAGGTAAAGTGGAAGCGGTAGCTGAGCCAGATCAAGCTGACGGTGATGATGTGGTGCGCTACCAGCTCCTTGAAGTCTTTTCTCGGCTTCTCGAGCATCAGCATGAGCACAATGGCTTGCTGGGCCCAGTAACTAGCTTGCAGCAGATAGTACGCCTTTACGACTGCCTCATGGGTTCGGTGCGGGAATCCCTCGTACATGCCAGTGGTGTTGAAGTACCATACAGGAGTACGTGACATGATCCATACACCAAACGGACCGTAGATAGCAAAGTAAAGGGCAGTGTATGCTTGCTCCATGAAACGCGACTGCTTATCCCTTTTGCGGATGCCAAAGTGAAGGGCAATGGGGCGGATGAGACGCTGCATGCAAAACTCGCGGGTAAAGCTCAGGACAATGGTGTAGAAACCAACGAAAGCGAAATCCCGTCCGCCTTTGCCATAGTGTAGGGGCGCATTGGGGTCGGCTCGCACGTGGGCGGGGATGAGGGGGTCGTCGCGTGCGAGTGGGTATGACAGGAAGAGACAGGCCGACAGCGGGTTGGACGAGTAAGGGTAGACGAGGTATAGCGAAATGATGGTGAGGGTGAGGACGAGGGGGAACAACCATGTGTGTCGAATGCACATTCGCTTTGCTTTTGAGAGGTATCGACGTGTCGTCTTTCGCTTTGAGCGACGTCCTGACTTGTCTGATTTCTGACAGGCTCGTCAGTTGCACGTGGGGTTCCCCCTCATGGCAATTCTGTGCAGAAAAAGGGTACAACACATACCGAGTCCATGGTCACTGGGCTGTGTAGCGGAGGGGTGACAGATCGATATGTGGCCAGGGACGGGACATCAACATCGCCAGGGACGTCAGCGCCGAGGGCACTTGATTTCCTTCGGCGCCTGGGTGCGCTGTTGGAGACAGGATTCTGCGGCAGTCCGCCATTCAGCGGAGGAAACGGTTCCGTCATTGTGAAGCCGAAGCAATAAGCAATCGCGGGATGGCAGTGCACAAGGGTCGCGGGAAGGATTGGGTAAGCCCCTGATTATATATGCGAATGTAAGTACCGTCCAAACAACCACGTGCAAAGGAGACCAAGGCCGAAAGACGCTGGACGCAAGGAATGTGAGGACGCCAGCAATCCACAGGAGTTATTATTGTGGGCACAGACGATGCAAGCAAAAGTTGTCGTCGGGCAACCGACTCCTTTCCCTGCCAATTTCCCGGCCACAAGTGGGGCTCGTGACACTCCCGCGCAATACGAAGCATCTGTGCCGATCGACTACTACTACGCGATGCCGCCCAGGGGTAAGGTTATGTCAGCATCAGCATCGCCAAATCTTCCCTTGAGAACTGCCATGTCTGTGGCCGAAACACAACCGTGAGTAGTTGACCTCTTTGAGCCCGGACACAAGGCCCGGACACGAGGTCCGGCCCGCAACAGTCCCGCCCGTCTACCACGAGCCATGCAAGGGACTTGTAGGTAATACCAACCAAAGTATAAAGCCATGACCAGGATAATGAGTATTACTATCGGACAAAAAAATAAAGGACATCGGAGACTAGCCCGATACAAAAATACAGTCATGGCTAGTTTACCTCTCTCGCTGTGCATGCCTAAACAGTCATCAGGCCTGCCTCGCTACCACGTATCGTACAACATGAATACGCTGCCTGCCACCCAACGCTCACTCCGACGGTCTAAGCCGGCTTCCAGGATGCACATTAGTCTTGTGCTGCGCTGTCCCAACACCATGTACAGGTGTGCCGTTGGCCTTGACCTGCTCTAATTTCTTTCCAGCAATCTCAAGACTCTTCACTTCAATCGTGGGCGTGCCAACACTGCTCGCAGTCATGGTACTATCCATGCTTCCCTTCCGCGAGAGAACACCATCCTGGCGCAACAAACCCTTGATGCCGCCCGCCTTGCGAGCCGGTAGTTCGCCTTTGCCGGCTGTGGCCACGTACAGCAGATACTTGAGGTTTGGTAATGTGTGGCGAATGTCCAGTGGCCGCAGTCCCAACGAGTTTGAGAGAATCTCAATGTTCTTGTTGAGAAGGAACACACCATACTCAAACCGGTACCTCACAACATTCTTCATGTAGAGGGGATAGGTACGTTGGTGGTTTTGTTGACTTTGTGAAATAGCCAGTGGATCATCAATTGTCGACGTTGACCCGTGCAACGACACCGGATACGGCAGCATGACGGACAGATATGGTGAGAGCAAACTGACCATTTGGGCCACATAGCCCAGTGCTGCAGAAGTAACGTCTTCCTTTGCGTCCTCGAAATTGGAGTTTGGTAGCAAAAGCCCCCGTATTGTAAACGTCAGAGCCTTCCCAGGCACAGGCTCAATTGGGAATATCCTGAGCAAGTCTTCGCACACCCTTCGTCGTTGGCCCGTGATATCCTCTAGAGTCTTTTCCAAGCCCTCTTTGGTTTGGCCGATATTGGCTCTTTGTTCAGAGATTTCATTTTCGGCTTTCAATTGCTGTTCGCGCCCAGCCTTCATCTTCTCTCGTCGGTTCAGGATGTTGGCTTGCAGCTCGTCACGTCTTCTTTGCGCAGCCGCAACACGTCGCTTTTCGGCCGTCACCGCGGCCTGCACTGTCCGCAAGCTTTCTTCTGTCTCGGCTACTGATTCTACTGTGAATATATCCTCTTTATTCGCCATGAGTATACCCTCAATCTCGTCGGCAATCCGATCTCGCGTAATCAGTGCATCTTGGATGCAGTCGTCGAGCGTCGAGAGTCTCATAAGGGCGTCATAAGAGGAAGATGGAAGCACTCGACCATCAGGATTCTCTTTGGGTGGTGCAAGAAGTTCTGGTCGCATCCTTTGCTGCACTGGTAGATCTGTGAAGCTAGTATAAATGCCGTCCGCCATATAGAAGAGCACACAGTTTTGTGGAAGAGGGTGTCTGAAGCCTTCAAGGGTCTTGCCAATGAACTGGAGCGATCGGAACTGGACAGTATAGTCGAGCAGGTATTGCCAGTTCTTCATTGTCTCGCTCTTGGCCCACACCTTGATTGTGAGCGTGTCCAATCGCGTGATGCCCGGTCCACAGGGGCCAAGATCGAAAAACTTGAAGTTTGGGTTCATAGCCTTGTCGACGACTTCGGAAATGTAAATTGGGTCCGTCTGGTCGTCGATGTGCAGGGAAAAGAAGGTGTCGGCCATGCGCCCAGCAGTGATGTCTTCCAGCTTCTTCTGGCGAGTCAATGGGCTCGCATTGGTCCACTCCATTGTAGAGCGCCTACGCAGGCCCCTCCCGACCACAGGCCTGTTTGATTTCTGGGGAGTCGTGGGGTCGCGCAAGCCATTGCTGCGCCGCACGGCATCGTCGGGTGAGGTGAGGTCGCTGGATGAGCGGGAATGCGCCAGGCCCCTGCTCTCACGCAATGCCAGCGCCTTTGCCGGCGACTTGAAGGTGCTCGGGACGGCTTCATCATCAATGGTCTTTCCGCGTGGCTTTGTGGTGCTGGGGGTAAGAGTAAGGTTGCGAATGGTGATGCCTTGGAGATGCCTGAGCTTGCGGTTCTGGAGGCTTGTTAGCGACGTCAGCCATAGGCGGAAGTTGTCTGACACACGTATGGCAGCAACCACGGGCGCTCGCGTGGTGGACGAGGGTCGGGCTGGCCAGCCGCCGTGAGCGGATCGCCGGCCATGTTTAGGCAGCTTGTCGCGGAGACGGACAGGTGAGAAGCGAGTGCAGCAGCAGCAGGCGTCTCATGGGTGCATGGTGGAGGGCGAGGGAGGGCGGGGACGGCAGAGCAGGCGCATCAGCAATGGCATCGGCGCAGCCCATAATACATATGTGCTGTAAACGTCGACGCTGACTGCGACTAGACATAGGCACGCGGAGGAGTCGCGCTGCTGCACACGAGTCGTTGGCAGTTCCGCGCGGGACCGGGCCCGTGCACCGAATCCTAATGATTCTCGCATCTTTGCTTGCGTCCATGGCATGCCCACCGTTGGCCTGTTTGCTGGCCTATTGCCTCGACCACACTCGCTGCGGCCATGCCTCGCTCACTCGCCCGGCTCCGTTATAAGCCGCCGCTGAAGCCCATCTCTTTTGCCCCCGCTGCAAAACGCACAACACCCGTCCACGAGGAATTGCTGCACAGGCGGGTCGCCGCCTATGTCCAGCGCCAGTCAAACCCCAAGCACCTCCGGCTGCAAACTGTTGTCAATGAAAAAGCCAGACGTCAGGCGACGGGACAGCATGTGAATGCCCCCATCAAACCCTACACCCTGCGCGATGTGGTGGACCCAGAAGGCACGGCAAAGCATGGCGAAATAATCTACATTTTCCGCAACACAAAGACCAACCAGGTCATCTACTCTCTCCAGGAGTTACTAGACGTACGACGCCCGCACTGACTGCATTGATTGGCTGTTGATTGTCTGCAGAACCATCACCTCGACCAACTGCCCTTCATTGGCAAGCACTCGAAGCCGCCCGCCCTGCGCCCAGACGAATGGGTCCCTCACTGTGTCGTCACCTTTCCCACCCCTGCCCAGGGCCATAGCGCCTTTCGCAAGCTGCGTGAGTTCAGGAAACTGCACGAGACTGCGTGGGACAAGACGAATCCGGAAATGGTTTCCATGGATCGCAAGCAGCGCATTAAGAAGATTATGAACCAGCGGGCCAACACGAGCGCCGATCTAGCAGAGGTGCTGCGCATACAAGAAGAGCATGGCGTCCAAGCTGCAGAGGAGCTGCTAAAGCGCGAGCAAAAGGCCACTGCTGTGCTAGATAAGCGCTGGCAGGAAATCGACGCACTCGCTAATGCGAGTCTGGCCAAGGAAAAGCCAACTGACAACGTCAAGTGGCTGCAAGGCCAGATACGATCCATGGACCTGAAGCTCAAGATGAGGCACCACCAGAATGAAGCCGACCAGAAGAGCCTAAAGGCCACCCAGGAAGCTCTAGAGGCCCGGTTACGCAAATTGCAATATGCGATCAGAAAAGCCGAACAATTCAAGAAGCTGCAACAAGACCTCGCAAAACAGGCAGCGCCTGCTCATGAGCCAGGTGCTGAGGCCAAGCTGGATGAATTAAGGTCTCAAGCGCGAGTTCTAGACGAGGCGCTTCAGAACCCAGACCCCTCTCGATCTGCGTCAGATCTTGAGATGGATGCTAAACTTCTCGCTCAACAGCGAAGCGAAATTGACCTCCTTGAGCAAGCTTTTGACGCCAAGGCCCAAGCCGAATCTCGCGACCACTACATTGCTCGCTCCGTTCTCCCAAAGGCCCTCAAGAAGACCCCTGTTAGACCCTACACGCTCAATGGTATCTCAGTACAATGGGCTGATATGCAAGACGCTCTCTATGCGGCCGGAAAGTGGCCTGACGCTATTGAGCACGAGCCTCTGGAGATCAACAGGATGCGGGGAGAAATTCTGTTGCTCTCGGCTGAAGAGTATGAGATTGAAAAGAGCAACGATGTCGGGCGGGTCATGGAAGCTTTGCAAAGTAGAGGTCAGATGCACAACGGCTTGCGGTCAAGCTTTGAGCCATCAGGTGTAGCTCCGGCACTGAAAATTAGCATACCGACATTCCTGCCTGTACGGAATGCCTTCAAGAGCGCTACAGCCTAGGGGTTGATGTACATTATGTAGATTATTATTGTCGAATCTACCAAGGATTTCGGATACGCGCAGTGACATCTTTAGTCCATATGATTAGTGCCCAGCAATTCCGTAACAGACTGACTTGAATCTATTTTGCATCTGTTTCGGCAGACTCCACTGCTTTCTGCTCACCCGCCTTAACTTCATCCTCGTTCAACTTGAGCTGGAGTTTCTCTAGCCGCTCTAACAAAATCTTCTCCTTCTCTTTGAACCTCTTCTCAAACTCTTCATCATCTTCGTTGCTGAACTCCAGAGCGGTAGGTGTCTTATCTCCTTCTCCCCCAGTTTCCTCTCCGCTTCCTTCTTCCGTACTCTTCGCAGTCGCCTTTGACTCTACCAACGCAGCACGCTTCCTTTTCTTCATCATGTCGGCCCATCTATTGCACTGCTCCAATCTCTCCAAGCTGCTCTTCGGCCACAACTTATGCATATCACCGCCCCTGGGCAGCGTATGCGCATCATCCGGCAAGCGTATCCAACCCAGCTTACTCTGGGCAAAAATATGCAGATCGGGCACCATCAGATCCGGGAAATCCAGTGTACCCACTCTCACATCGTACACGGCCTCTTCACCCGGGAAATTGCTCGTCACCCACATGTGCACCCGGCATGCGGAGCATTCCGCATGCACTTCGACGGCCCCGCGCCGGTTATTCGTCTTGACAAACGCTGGCAATGTGGACGATATGACTTTGACATTATACATTTCTATCTTGAGGAACAGGCCGAATGCGCTGCCGCTAAAGGCACGGCAGTTGGTGCAGTGGCAGGCATAGCAGAAAAGAGGCGAGGTGAGGAGTCGGTAGCGCACTGTGCCGCAGACACAGCCTCCTGTTATTGCTGGAAAAGTTTTGCTCGAGGGCATGATGAGGGAGTGGATGATGGACGTTTACTTAAGAGTAGTAGTGGTGCTGCCTAGGGGAGGATTATGTCGCTTAACACCATGCAGATAGACGTACATATGTGGGGGGTTGCCAGCTCGAGTCATGATGACGTGGGAGGTGTGTCAAGATGGAGCTTGCACAAGTCAGGGGTGCTATTAGACGGAAGGCACCATTCTTTGATGTACTACTACTCATCCTCCAGCAATCTGCTTCTTTACAGTAGCAAACCCTATAGTCTGCAATATTACATTGACATCCAACAGAGACACTGCAAATTAGAGATATGGTCCACCTATTGCCATTGATTCTTTTTGCTGTCTTGCAATCATGCATAGTTTCTTGCCAGCTGTACCCAGTGCTAGCCCCGAAAAGCACCAAAGCGTCTCCATCCCCGCACCAGGCCGACAGCACCAGGCAGCATTGGAGTTGCCTGCGCTAGCGTGGCAACACCACTCAGCGTATAACCATAGCGCCATACAACAGCGCTGATATAAAGGCCGTCAATACCTCGCCATTCATCTCTGTACAGACTCATCTGCGTTCGCTTCAAGAGCGCTCATCGCCTATGCCCACACCCAAACATGGCGCACGATACTTCGAGCAATCCCTCAACACCAAAAAATGAATATCCTGGGCTTGGACGTCCATTGAGAGTGTTAGATAATACTCGATTCCCTTTTTATCCCATAGGCGCCCACGTCGACTGTACCGGGACTCAGTCTGAACTCGTGCCTGTGCGAGAGCTTGCCATGTTGGATGTCATGGAAAAGCTGACTGACAAAGAAAATTGGCATCGGAAAGTTTTTGACGAAGATGTTGTAGCAAAATGGCGCAAAGAAGCCCTAGCAGTCCCGGACACTGACTTCTGGAGCTTGGCGACCTGCGCGAAGTCACAGATGTGGCCCAGTGACGATGGGCCACCCGTCTTTGACAACCAGAGTCACCTCGAATGCGAATTAACAAACATCATGGACGAGACTACTTTCCAGAGTGTGGGTCATCATCATCATCATCATTAGATCTACATCGTCAGCTGACCTTGAAAGTGTATTGAAGAACTTCGCAGCAAAGCAAAATACTTTGAGCTAACCGGAATCATCCCTACACTCGACGCATCAGCTTCAATTGCCAAGTCCGATGTCATTGTGCCTGCCGACCTCCACGAAGATCTACGCATTGCATTTGACAAACTCAAAACTGATTGTGCATCTTCCCCGGACTGGCATCCTAACTCTTCCGATATGGTACAGGACTTGGTACATCCTTCCATGTATCCGCTTGTTTACGGCCGAAGCCGCGGATTTCAAGCAGAGAAAGTCGGTGTGACTGACGCCATCAGGCGTTGGGCTGGTAAGGGAGACCTCATTCCCAAACTAGAATCCGAATCTCTCGAAACAGTTCTCGCGAACCAGCCGCTCTTCCCACATCACAATTTTTCTAGTGATCATGATATTCCGCCAGAATACTGGTCGGATACATATCAGTGGCTACCAGCCAACGTGGCCTTTGGGGAAGGTGGCAAAGTCAAGTTTACTAGCTATATCAATAACCTTCACCCTATTAAATACCCTGACATCTATCGTACAATCGAGAAATTGATAGAGACATCAATCCCTATGTGGGATCAATGTCTACGGATGGCGACTGGCTATAATGAATATCAGGGTGCTGGTCGCCTTGGACTACGGGCTGATAAGCCGGAGAATGCCAGGTTAGTCATCAATTGGTATTTTTGACTTTAGCAAAAAGCTGACTTGGGATCTTTTGCAGTGATGAGGAATTGCGTCTTTGGATTCCCGATAACATTGAGGCTTGTGCTGATGCAGATGTCGACATGAGTGAACTCGAGGAAAGAGGCTATGACGAAGAATTCTACGCCAATAATGAAGAACGGCGCCAAAAGGACTACATGCAATACAAGTGGGAGAAGCTCCGAAAACCAAAGATACCGGCAATTCCCTTCAAAGACGTTGACTATGCGCCGAAATCTGGTCAACGTCTGGCCGAAAGGTTCGCTGCTTCTGGATTGCAGGTTATCGTCAAGATGGCCTCAATTGAACTGACACCAGAAAAGCCGGAGTTTCCAGTTGGCGGATGGCACGTTGAGGGACAGATGAACGAAAAGATATGCGCCACTGCCTTGTATTACTTGGACAGTGACAATATAACCGACGACAGCCTCTCATTTCGCATGCAGATTCCCGAGGACATTGAACAGTGGCCTGAATTTGAAGTTGGGCAGGACTCCTACCACTGGCTGGAGCAGATCTACGGTACCGTGTTGGCGTGCGGCAATGGTCCTCGTCTACAAAACTACGGCAGTGTTCAGACGCGTCAGGGACGCCTTTTGGCATTTCCCAATGTCTTGTAAGTGCGCGCTGTGTCACTGACGAGTTGTCTAATTCTGAAAAATCAAAACAAATAGCCAGCATCGCGTCTCTTCTTTCAAACTCATCGACCCCACCAAACCCGGCCACCGTCGCTTCATCGCTCTGTGGCTCGTTGATCCTACAAAACGCATCATCTCAACTGCAAATATCCCGCCCCAGCAGATGAGCTGGTACACAGAGTCCATCTTCGGGCCCAGCGAATCAGCCCAAGAAGGCGCGCTAGAAAAGCTGCCCTCAGATATCGTCGAGCTGCTTGTCGAGCTCGGTTGGCCTGGCCTCACTAACAACCGTGAATGCCGGCTCCCAGAAGAACTCATGGACTTTGTGCGCGCATATCTTAAACAAGACAAGTTTGCGCTGCCGATGACTGTGCAGGAGGCGAATGAGCATCGCTTGAAGCTCATGCGTGAGAGGAGTGCGTTTGTTAAGAAGAGTGAGGAAGGGTGGCAGAGGCAGACGTATGATTTTTGTGAGCATTGATGCTGGTGAGATGAGTTATGGGGGTAGATTGGGTGGATGACTGGGGTGTGATGAGTCCGCTGTTTTTTTAAGGGGAGAATGAGGTGTGTGATACTTTTGAACAATGGGATGTGTAGATTCACGGAACGAGGATCGCGAACAGATGAGGAGTAATTTACACATAACTGAGGTGCTAGCTATGGGTGACCACCCGGTGACGCGCAATGCATGTCAGACTCGCAAAGGAAATGCACATCTCCAAATAGGCCATCCTATCTCGCCCTGATCTCACCATGCCAGTCAAAATTCTGCCCCATTGTTCTCTCTTGGCGAAAGCGCTGAGATTCCGGTATACGATCAAGAATCTCTTTCACTAGCGCCTTGGTGGCGGGCAATTCAGCTTAGGGTTACTAGATGGCCCCGTAAGACCAGGATCACACCCAACCGGCCAGTCTATAGTCTTGCAGCCTTTGCCCTCATGCCACGGCTCGCCGATCTTGAGATCCTGCTTGAAGCAATTGTCTTCCGCACAGAAGACAAACGGGAGAATCTGCTTCGCGGGCCAGGCCATGGCGTTGGAAAGTGGGTCGCGGAAGTCCGTCCACATCATAGCATCAACGTCACCCTCAGTATTGCCCTGACACTTGAAAGTGTCTTTTCCCGTCTTCTTGCTCCATGTGAGTTCCACATCGAGGATGCCTTGGATAAGACCGCCGTTGATGGGGAAAGCGAGCTCCACCTTGTCGGCTACACTGCACAACAATGTCCGTCGCGTCCACGGGAAGTCGTGGAAAAGGCAGTTATTACCCTGCATAGTCATGAGCTCGAAGATGCGGGCGACGATGCGGAACTGTTGTCCATTTGTCAGCACATCTTCTAGTATTTAAAACTCGCTGCAATTGTGTACGTACCCCGAGATCCTGGATCTTGGGGTGATGCTTAATGTCAAAGTATGAGAAATTGATCCTGAGTGCGATGTGCGAGTCTGATGCCCAGTGACCGTCTTTGGAGTATACGATTTGCTCGATACGGCAATGGTCGGGACATTCTGGGCGGTCATCGCTGCAGAAACCGGGGATCGAGGAGTCTTTGTAAGCGATGCCGCAGGTTTTTAACGCAGAGTACATGCGCTTGAACATGCGGCCTTTCCGAAGTGTGCCTATGTGCGTGGAGTCTTTGCCGATGCGGACGTCAAATCGGTAGTAGCCGTCGAGGTTAGGGAGGGGCTTCTTCGCAGCGGCGACAACAGCAGTGGTTGGATTGTATAGGGAGTCATTAGCAGCGACCGCCTCCCCATAGTGTCCAGCAGACCAAGTTTCGTTTTTGCGCGTGGCTTCATTCAGTTGGTTGAACCATTCCCGAAGCTGTGAATCGCCGGCGAGTGAGTCCTCCAAAGAAGTCCCCCCGATTTGAGGATTAGATGAATTCGAGAGAGGTACATCATTGCTGATCAGGGAGGTGAGAAATGATTCTGTTACTTCTTAACGAATGATTCAGTCACTTTTTTATGTTCTCTTACCTAAGTCCAAGGTAGCTGCGGCGTCTTCGGGGGCACTTGCGACGGCAAAAGCTATCAACAGCGTGATGAAGACGAAGAAACACTTCATTGTGTATTTTTACCAGGTAGTGGACACAATCTTGGGTTATTTTGGAAATGGGAGGGTCTTGGCGAGCGTGATATTGGGGTTGTGGCTTCAGTTGAGGTGTGGAATAAGAAGCGAAACTGAAGGCCACTGGCAAGGTTGATATAGATCAGGGTATAGTGCGGTGAAAGTGAGAGCGCAGCTAAGGCGGAGCGAGCAAAAGGCCAAAGCGCAGCAGTAGTGAGTGAAAGGAATAGCTTAGAGGAAAATACATGATTGGCGGGGCGCCGTGAAGGCAAGCACGATGATGTGAGAGGAAGGCGCGATAACACCGAGTCCACTATTGAAGATCCAAATGATGATTTGAAGAAGTTAAAGTGAATGACAATACCGATTTAGAGTAAAAATATAGAAAGAACTCATGATAACCGTGTTCACACGTTGGTATGCATTGTTGTGTCCTGGTCAAAGTATATATATATAGCTAGTTTTACGACCGGAAACGATGCTATATCGTTGAAGTTTCAGAGCGATGCTTGTTGTGCAGATGTCGATTGTACATAACCAAGCAAAAAGTGACTCGTGGCTACTTGTAGCCTGTCTGCAAACTCAGGTCATTCCAACGTCTTGCAGTAGTGGTGCGCGGCATTGCTCGGAAAGATGTTAAGGAAGTGAAAGCAAGACCAAAACGTGGTATTCAAACAAGAGCGAAGCTCAGTTCTTACCAGGGTTTACGTGTGATTCTCAATTATCGAATCTACTCAGCGTGAATTACATGTAACTATCCTTTGGATCGGTGGTTATGCAGGCTCAATGACCAGTTTGCTTTGGCGATGACATTGGCTACGTCGACAACCACTAGGCTTTGACCCACTTCCCATGTCACATTGTGTACATCCTCTCCTCACATACGAAATCGCCAATCGCCAATGGTGTGCGGTGCACATTCGTAGTACCCATGCTTCTTACTATATCCGTCGCTCTTATTCCCGGCGGGGAAATGGTCACGCTCGTATGCGGGGAGACGACCGGCAACGCGACTACTTAGGAATCAAACACTCGTATACCACACTCATTATGTCTACCGCCTATTTTCTGTCCCGTTCACTGCTTCGAGCTTTTAGCCCTTTCAAGTTCCGGCGCGCGTCTACTCCATTATACTCAAGCCGATGCCTGGCCACGCCTTCCAATCCACATGGCGCATCAGTGGCAGCAGGTGTACGTGTCGACCATGCTGAGGAAATCGACAACCAGACCGTCGCTGCTATGGGTCGCACCAAAGCAGGCAAATCATTGAAAGTACGCAAGTATCCAACTTTCACTAGGCTTGAGGATGAGCGCCTGTATCGCAAACAGCACCTTGCCGCTGCTTATCGGGTCTTTGCTTCACGCGGTTTTGACGAAGGAGTTGCAGGACACATAAGTGTCCGCGATCCTATCATGACCGACCATTTCTGGCTCAACCCGCTCTCCACCCATTTTTCATTGATGCACGTCTCGGACTTGATCTTGGTCAATGAAGAAGGCGAGGTGGTCGAAGGTGATCAACCCATCAATGCGGCTGCATTTGCTATTCACAGCGCAATACACAAGCGGCGACCGGAAGTACATGCAGCATGTCATGCTCATAGCGTACACGGCAAGGCGTTTAGTGCTTTTGGAAGAGAGCTTGATATGATTACACAGGATAGCGTGCGTTTCTACAAGAGCCACGGTGTATACAACCAGTTTGGTGGTATTGTATTGGCAAGTGAAGAAGGCGAGAGAATCGCTGATGCGCTGGGTCCGTGTCTTCCTAAAAATTACTGTGCTGACACCATTGACACTGAATAGGCGACGGAAAAGCAGCTATCTTACAAAATCACGGTATACTTACTGTAGGCAAGTCAGTTGATGAGGCAGCCTTTTGGTTTTTATCTCTCGATAAAACCTGCCAGGCACAGCTTCTAGTAGATGCGGCCGCAGCCGGAAGTGGGCACAAGCCAAAGATCATACCGGAAAGCGAAGCAGCTGAAACGTACAAACAAGTAGGAACACCTGAGAAGGGATGGCTGGCTTTCCAGAGTTACTACGATGAGATTCTTGCAAAGACTAACGGTGAATTTTTGAAATAGGCCAGGTTGATTAGGTTGTTCTAAGTCTACTATATTCTATTACTGGACGGTCAGCTGACTACTCGTTAGTTCTTCTTCGAACCAATTCATTTTCCAGCTCCTCCTTCTCCTCAGCTGTCAAATCGCTCTTTGCCTTGCCAATCTTGACACCTAAAAACATGATGATGAGGGCCGCCGCCGCTATACCTGTAGCAAGCCAAAAAGCGACCTTGTAGCTCTCCCTCTTGCCCCTCTCCTTTGTCTCACTCACTGCTAGATCAGCAAGTGATAAGAACACTGCTATGCCCAGAAATAGAATAGAGTTCATGAAAGAGCCTGCTAGGCCTTGGCGCGCCTTTGGTAGCGAGGTAGTGATAAAAATGTTGGCGACGTCTGTTGGGAGAACAATACAGTTAGCGATTACAGGGAATTGAGCGTGCTCACACTCATGTAGTGGCGCAAGAGGGACTTACTATAGGTGATATCAATACCAAGAGTAGCACATATCATGGCGGTGAAGATCCAGGCCCAGAAATTGAACTCAGCAGGAATGATCGCGAAGAGAAGTGTGGAGAGAATGAATGCCGCTCCACTGACAAGAAGTAGGATACGACCGGGCAAGAGGTGTAGAACCAGTCCGCCGACGGTAGCTAAGATCAAGCCACCGATGCACATGGGCGTGAACCATGCGGCAGTGAGGAGTGAGCTCGCGCCGACAACGTCTTTGATATAGAAACTGGCATAGAAGATAAAAATTCCAAAGTTTCCGTACTGGAAAAAGAGAGCCAGCCCAAGGGGTTTCATGCCCTTGACGTTGAACAGATCACTGGGGAGGAGAGGCTGCTCAGCTACCCAGCCTTCGATGTAAACGAAGGCACCGAGGAAGATCCAGCCTAAGATGAACGTTACAGGGATGTATGGTGTTGCCCAGCCTTGTGGGGCATGGCTCCCGTCTGTAAGTGCGAAGATTACCAGGACAAGCCCCGGGACTACGGTTGCGGTGCCCCACCAATCCATCTTGACAACATTGACTGGTGCCTCGATCTTTTCATTGGCCTCAACCTTATATTTAGGTATGCAAAAATATGACGCTACGTTTACAGCGATGAGGATGATGGCGCCGATCCAGAAGAACCAGCCCCACGATGCGAGTTGTGCAGAGATGCCTGCGAAGAAAATGCCGGTAAAGAAACCAACAGGAGCGAATGCGCCATACAGGCTAAAGACAAGATTCTTTCTTGGACCAGGACGATATATGGAGCCCAACAGCATGATACCTGCTGGAAGGAATGCTGCTGGACCAAACCCTTGCAATGCCCGACACACAATCAACATGATGTAGTTCTGTGAGAAGCCGGCAATAAGGGACCAAATGATGAACCAGGCAAGACCGACATTGAAGACTAGGTAACCTCCGAAAATGTCACCCAGTCGGCCAAACGGCAAGAGAAACGCTCCTGTGACGAGAGAAAAGACAGAAGCGGGCCATGTTTGTGCCTTCGTGGGGATGTCGAGATCTCGAGCGAGGTCGGGTAGGAGGATGGTGAAGCCAGAGATCATGTATTCGGACATGAACATGGAGCCCAAAAGGGCGAAGCAGAAGCCCAGCTCCTGAAGAAAAGTGCCAAATGCTTGTGGGCGCTCGCGACCTAGGCGTTCGATATCAGACTCGCTGTATGAAACTCGGCGTGGCAAATTGATGCCTTCCTCAGCCTTTTCTAACGTTGCTGGTGGCACGAAGTCTGTCGTGTTTGGAGGTGCTGGGGTAAGGTTTCCATGGTCCAAGGTAGGTTGGCTTGTTGGAGGTGTTGGCGTTGTCATGCTTGAACTGTGCACGATGCGTACGGTGGCCAAGGAAGTGTCCTTGTAGCGACACTTGTCAGAAGTAAATGATGGAGGAGCACAAAAAGCTTTTCTGATGCCCGATAGTTATATGACTTGTTCCATTGCTTCTCGATACCTTGAGTTTGACCGGAGTTCATAAAACCCGTGGACGATGTGGGAACGAGAATGAAAGGCATTTTCTAAGCAGCGGCTTAATGTAGAATGTACAGCCGAAGCACAATATTAGACGCCAGCGGTGTATCTGACGTAGATGAATTAAGCTGTGATGAAGTGGACCCTTTGCTGCAGAACGTGTGTCTTGGCTGCTGGTTAGAGTTTAGTGTGACGGTGGAACGTGAACGTAGAGAACGCCAAGATCACGACTTTGCCAGAGGTGAATGAGATGTGATTCGTCCACTACAGTTTCTCGCTACGTAATGAGTACAGACGGAGGCTAACGTGACGAAAAGCACTGCCGACGCCAAGCCCAAAGCCGTTAGCTCCGTCGCGCCACTGGTTCCCCTGGGCCACATCCACCACGAGCAGAACATATCCACCCCGCGCCGTACCCCGTAGAACTCAATTCAGTCAATCACCAGCACATCTTGCATGGCTTCCATCCAATGAGCACAACGCACCTAAATCTGCCGACCAAATCTTGCCATAATTGCCGAAAGCGACGTTGGAGATGCGACCGGTCTCTACCAAGCTGCCAGAAATGTCTATCAGCAGGAACCGAATGCCTAGGTTATGGGAAGTTGTTTGTATGGAACCGCGGTGTCGCCAGTCGCGGCAAAATGATGGGGAAGGGCTACGAGGAAAAGATGGAGAAGCACCACATTGCACACGCAGAACCGACTGAAGCACCGGCCAAGGCCCAGGGCATGTCGGCCTTGGTATGGGATAACCAGGGCCCTTCTCAACAACAAGACGAGCAGCAACAAATGTCATTACTACCAGAGTCTAGCTATGAGCTAGTTTCCGGACATTCGGTAATAGACGATTACCGAATGTCCATACAAGGACGGCAGATGAGTTCGGATAAACAACGGGAGATGATTTCGGATGTTCATCGAGCATTGACAGACCCTCTGCTGAATGATCTTGACCGGAACTCACGATACTATCTCTATCATTTCGCAACTCAGCTGTGCGAGGTTATGGTTGTCTACGATGGGCCTGGCCAGAATCCCATTCGTGACCTCATACCGGCAACATCTGCCTATCCATTGCTCTTGCAGATTATTGTCGCGAATTCAGCCTTCCATGTCTTCAACATCAGCAGCAACCCCATGGACCAATCCTCCTACCAGGAGCAGCAGAGTCCAACTGTCATGGCCTATTATCAAGCCGTGAGCCGCTTTGGGGGGCCGCTTAAATCCTCTTATCGGGATGCTCTTGTAGCAAAACAGCAGGCGCTTTCGTTGCTTGCAAAGAGCATCACCTCCGTGAACACTGCTAATATTGATTTCATACTGATGACGATCTTGTTGTTCGTCAACTACGCCCTTGTAGAATCCGGTCGAGATAAATGGAAAGTTCACATGGACGGTGCTCTGAAGCTTATCCAGCTACTCGGCAAGCCGCCGTATTTTCAACGCCCGATGAGCAGACTTCGCCAAACTATACTTTCAGACCTCCTGGTATTTCATATTCTCGGTTCGACTTTCAGTTTCACGACGCTTCCTACGCTAATTCCAGACACGATCGAACTCGACCCTATCCTCCGTTACGCCGAGACGAACAACTACCTCTCTTGCCCCGGGCCGCTACTTCGTATCATGTTGGAGTCTTTTGCGCTACCGGACTCCCACGGTTCCTTTGCCGGAACCAATACCCCCATTTACATCGAGGAGCAAGTAGGTGTTTTGCTGCGGCGAGCGCTCGAATTTGACCCAATTGTATGGTCATCTAATTTCGCACCCGCATCACCCTTCGAAGACATTCAACAACGCATTCGCATCGCCTCTGCGCATCGTTCGGCCGTTTGTATCTACCTCGCACGTGTCTTGCCCTCTACGAACCCTCTTCTAGACCCAACAAGCGGTACCGCTATTGTCAGTCTTACGGCTTTAGCCGACGACGTGGTTCATCACATCTCGCATCTGAAGCCGGGAGATCCGCTGTTCAAGTCAATCTGCTGGCCATTGTTCTTGGCCGGCGCAGAGTCAGAAGACCCTGCCCAACGCGAGTGGATCATGAACACCCTTGACGAGCTCTATGTTCTCATGTTCTGGGGCTACCTACGCACATCCAAGCGCGTGCTAGAAGCGATATGGAAGTTCAAAGATGAAGCTGGGCCTAGCTCAGGGAACTGCTGGGTGGAACAGCTTAAAGACTTTGGCCACGATATCTTGATTGCCTGATCATGTCAGTCGTAGTACTGTCAGAAAACGAAAGTGTTGATGTCAGCAACCAAGGTAACGTGTTCTATCAGTAAGCTGGCCGTATCAGTAAGCTGGCCGCCCCACCAAAATTGACGCGACGCTCTACACCACCACCACAATGCCGCGACAACAACGCTCTATACAGACTTCTCGTGAAGGCAGACTAAGCCTTGCTATCGCATCCTATCATAATAATCCAAAAAGTTCTATCTACTCTCTTGCGAAAGCGTATGACGTGCCAAAATCAACACTCCAGACGCGTCTCCGCGGTGTCCAGCCACGGTCAGAGATTGCGTCTACTAGGCGCAAGCTATCACTTATTGAAGAGCAGTCTCTTGTTCAGTGGATTCTAGAGCTTGACCGACGTGGATTTCCACCACATATCATTGACGTGCGACGAATGGCAGACACTCTACTCGCCGCGCGTGGCCAGAATCCACCACCACCACCTATAGGCAAATGCTGGGTCGCCGCGCTTTATTCAGAGCCAGCCA